AGATTCCAGTCTGAGTGCTATCATGCAGTATTCGTCTTTCTGTGCCTGGTTTATTTCACAGAACATGATCTCCAGTGTCATCCACATTGTTATAAACGACAGGATTCCAAGTTCACAGCTAACCAGTACTCCATTAGGCAAAGTACCCTATTTTCTTCCTCCATCGTCAGTGGTCACTTACACTGTTTCTGTTTCTTCACTGCAGCGAATGGTGCTGAACACAGACAGGCAGATGTGAATTAGACACACTGCTTTTATCTTCTTTGGCTACAACACCCAGGAGTGGGATCACGTGGTAGATACACATTTAGTTTTTGAAGAACCCTTTAGTGTTTTCCAGTACTATTTCACATTCACACCAACAGTGCAAGGACTCCCTTTTCTCCACATCCGCTCCGACACTTATCTTCAGTTTCTTGTTTGTTTGAATTTGCCTGATGGATAGTGATGCTGAACATTTTTCCATCATCATACTGGGCATTAGTGTGTCTTTTTAGAAATGTCTACTTAGGTCTATTGTAAAATTTTCAATCAAGTTATGACTCCATTACTAACATTTTGGCATTTTATATACTTTCAGAATATTTACCCCCATCAGGTCTATAGTTTGCACATATTTTTCACATTCCATAGGCTGTGTCTCCACTCTATTGCTTCGTTTGCTGTACAGAAGGTTTTAAATCTGATATAATCCCATGTCTGTTTTTGCTTTTGCTTCTTGTGTTTTGGTCTGATTCAAAAAATCTCTCTCTAGTCCATGCCCTCAAGTGTTTCTCTGCTTCCATCAGCCTGGTGTGGCCCTGCCACTACCCATACCCCGAACCACGCGAAGGCAGAGGACTAATTCAGTTCTCACACCCTCCATCCCCAGTCACATACCCGAATCCCCAGCCACGCTCCTGCATCCAGCCATCTCTGCAAAGCCCTGCCTAATGAGCACATGAGGCTTTGGGGCACATCTAAACACAAGCTACCACAATTATGGTCAGTGCCCTTTTTAATGTAGAGTGCTAGATTCAGTTCGCTAATACAAGCGAAAAAGACAAGGGAAAATACAGTAATGAGAAAACTACACTTTACTTACATTCCTACTTACATTTGTTTTTGATACCACATTCTATCTTTCAATGCTGCCATCCTCTTAACACAAAGTAGTTATTCTTTTTAATACTTCTGACTTTAGCTTTACTAAGCCCAACTGATGTGCCCTGTACATCCTAGAACGTCTTGAACGTCTCTGTGTAATTACCCTTAGCAGTGCCTTTTTATCCTCCTGTGTATCTTCTTACTCATTAATATAGCTTTCTTCTCAGTCTGAGTAACTTACATCAGCAATTTTAACTTTTCTCATTTTTTGTTTAGGAATGCCTTTATTTTTCCTTCATTTGCAAAGGACTGCTTGGCAAGATACAGTATTCTTGACTGATAGTTTATTCCCTTAGTACCGTGAAAACCTCACGCCAGTCTCTCCTGGCCATGGGGGGTCTGCTGTGAAGCTGGCTGTCGGCCAAAGTGGACACTCATGTGCTATTTGTTTCTTTTAATCTTCATCTGTCGCCTTTGGGAACCTGACTATAGGATGGCTTGGGTTACATCCGTGTTGAACCACATTTGACTGCTTACCTTTGGTTTTACTGTACTTGGGTATGTGTAGCCTCTGGGTTGGGGAAATGTACTGTTATTTCCTTGAGTAAGCTTTGGGATTCTCGATTGTTTGCCTAAACCCCAATAACCTGAATATTTGCTCTTTTAAAACTGTTGCAAAATTTCTGTAAGTTTTCTTCATTTCTTTCCTTTCCCCTCTACTGTTCAAATATTTTCAAATAGCCTATCTTTAAACTCACAAATTTTTTCCTCTATTTGATCTATCTTGCTGTTGATGCCTTCTAAATCAGGAATTTTATTTAAATTCTCTGAAAGTTTTCTCATACTGATTGGTACCGGGAACCTTATTTTAAGTAAGCTCTTAAAGCTCTTGATATTTGTTGGCATCTAACATCTTCTTGGTGTTGAAGGATTAGTTAGCTGTTTAGTCCAGTCTTCCAAATGTGGCTTAGTTTGTGCTTCGATTTCCAGAAATTCTAAGCAGGCTGCTTATGTTAGTGGGCCCGTCCTTACTGCCACTCTTTGAGCCCTGGATGGCTGTCAGGTCCAGATGTGCTGGGAGTCTGTGTGTGGTCACTGATTCAGTACTGTAGCGCAGTCCAAGGCCAGCTTGGTGTACTGCTCAGAATCCACCAGGAGAGAACCAAGAAAGTGGGGTCTGTTCCCACAAACTTCTCCCTGGCTTTGGAGTACATCCAGATGTCTCATCAGTAATTGCTGGCCTACGACCAGGCAGTATGCGATTCTGCTCAGCTCTAGGCATTGTCAAAATGAAGGGACCAGTCCCAGGCTCCCATCATGGCTGTGGCCACAGGCAGAGGGCTCTATAACTGTCCCAGCACCCAATAAAAACGTATGTCCCAGTGGGATGGACCCATGTCTCAGTCTGTATCACTGTGAACTGTGGTATGGGCTTCCATGGTTCCATGTCACAGCCTGCCAAGACTGTCTGCGAGCATTGACCTGCTGTTGTGCCTGGAGTTGGTGGTGGAGACAATACCTTGGACACTACACCAAGTCACATCTGAGTTTAAGAGCTGCAGGGGCCTGTACTGTCTTGGAGGAGGGTGTCTGAGGCCCTCTTCAAAGGTAGAAATCATGCAGGCTAAATCTCAAGTGTGTCCTGCTGGCACACACGTCTCTGCCTGATGCTGAGTCTGGGATCTGTGACCAATGACCTGTATGGGAGGCCCTCATTTCTGAGAGACCCATTTCTCATTGGGGTGGCCTGGCACTGAGCTCTAAGACAAAGCTCTGTGGCAGCTTGCATGCCTGCAGTGAGTGGAGTTTTGCTCCTGCTCTGCCACCAAGGCTGTGGAAGGAGCAATGGAGGTGGTCAGCCGCCTGGTCTCGTTCAGATCCAAGGGCTCAGCCTGCAGGTGTGGGCCTTGTGGCATAGGTCGTGCGCTTTGCCCAGCATTGGTTTTACTATGGTGAGCTTGTCCTAGGTTCAATACTGTCCTTCCAAGCAGGAAGTTTATTTCAGGTCCTGTTTTTAACATTATGGGCAAAACTACTGCATTCTGTGAAAGTCAGAATACCTTTAAAAAGAACCACAGAGAAGTGGCAGCATTCAGACTCAAAGGACTCAGGTGCTCACTGAATTCGGTGAACGGCCTGCAGAGTCACACAGACTCAAGTTTTGGCATTGGTTTGGACACAGGCAAATTTGATAAACTTTGGATCCAGGGTTTTTTTTTAAGGTTCAAATATAGAGCTGTAAAAAGTGTAGACTGATTCCTCCTTCATGGAATTATTATGAAGAATAAAATGAGATGATGTGTTACAGTATACCACAGTATAGTTGGGACCATGATAGCTAAGACTGTATATTACTAAGAACCTACAAATATGTAACTTTCAGTAGTATTTCTGTGGAAAGATGGTATTGATATTTGCTCTTTTTGCAAAGTGACACTTTTCATTCGAACAATATGGCAATATAGATCAGTATATCAGCAGGCGTATAATGGAAGTAGTAAAATAATAATAATTTAAAATGCATTGCAATAATAGACACCACAACTATAAAATGGTCTCACTGACTTGAAATTAGAGTTTTGATTACTATAGTGACTTTCTCTGAAACAGGTATATTTATACGGCTCTCTGTTAGATACTAGATACAATTATGTAGAAGAGGGTGAGTGTTTTATGATACAGCTAGTACTCCAATACTTCTTTAATAAGATCAGTCAAGCTCATCATCAAGACTGATCTTCATTTAAACTCCAAAGCAAGTGCTGCTATTGAAACAAGGAGTTTTGGACACTAAGCCTGTACCACAAAGTTTTAGCATTCTCGTCTGAGTACATCTTTAGTGATTATATATATGTTTGTTCAGCTCATACAGACACAAGGAAACACATGTGTTAGCGGGGAATACTCATTTCCTGATCTTGTTGGTGAGGAAGTTTCCCTGCACACATTTCTGACCTTGTAAGGTGCTCCTTTAGTCACTCTACCCCGGGAAGCAGACAGACTCACTGAGTTTGGAAAGGATTAGCCTTGTTCTCCTTCCTCTCGAGTAAAAGGTCTGTCCTGCTCAACACTGCTTCCCTCTAGATACGCTCTTTGTGTGCACTTAGGCTGTTTTGTTTTGGTCTGCTTGGCTTTCTTGTAGAGCTATTCAGTTTATCCACTATTAAAAAGTTACATTTTGGGACTCCTTTATTTTTTAACCTACGTGGAATACCGTGATGGAGAAGGAGGGCATTTTACTGTTTCATGTTCGTTTATATCTGAAAGGTGACATCCTGCCTGCTTTTTCCTACATCACAATGTGTTGAGCCTCTAGTAAGAAAGCAAAGCTTCCAAATCCTACAAAATCCATCTGAGCAGCTTTCACGGCCTATATTCTTCCCTTAGTATTTTGTTCTACTACAGTTAACAATTCCAGAGAGCACCCTGATCCCCCAGCCCTGCTATATTATCACCTCAATCTGCTCTTCATTAATGTGCTGCAGCCTAATTTTATAAGGAAAAGAGGCTTAATTAGCTTGCAGTTCTGGTGGACTGCAGGAATGTACGAGGAAGCAGAGGTCACATCTTGATCAGGAAGTCAGAAAGAGATTGGGACGACAATCCCTTCCAAGGCACACACTTGGAGATGAAATGACCTCCCACAGGGTTTACCTTTGACATGTCCCACCTTTCAAAATCACCTGAGACCAAGCTGCCAGGCATAAACCCTTGACAAAACAACAGCCAAATCATAGCAGGTATCATTTGGGTTTTTCAAAGTTTCGTACTGATGCTGGAAACTGAAACCTGAGGGGAGAAAGCTTGAATTATAGGTGACAAACTCCTATGGAAGCGGGACAGATCTCAAAGCCCATCTCATTTATGACCAACTCCCGAGGAAAGATGCCTTTCCACAACCCAGGAGCAGTTACCTCAGCCGTGTGCTTCGCCACGTTCCCCACAATGACGATGACCTTCCCCTTGAAGCTCTGGAGCGTCGTGGTGTAAGGGCTCTGGGCGAGCTCTCCTTCTGCAGTGAAGGCGGTGCTGAAGGGGATGTTGATGCTGTTCGCAATGTGACCCCTAATAAAACTGAGAAGATGGTTTAAGGAAAACCTTCATTCATATATATATATATATTTTTTTTCTTTCTTTCTTTTGGTACAGAGAAGAATGTCTGATAGAAACAGAGGTAACTGATGCCCAGAGGCTAAAACTAACCATCCATGCTCATAATAAAGTAAGGCTCTTGGGGTTGGGTGGGTGAAGGAGAAAGAAATGAGACTAACCAGAGATGCAAAGATGTCCATCCTCATTAAGTGAAGGATTATGAATAATCCTGAGGTAGCTGAGTGACAGTCATCACACAGGCTGCACAATATCCATGCTCTCCAGTTGCTTCTCCTGGACTTAAAGCACTGAAGGCAATACAGGGTAGAGGATAATCTCAGGTCTAATTTGATACTGCAAGGCCTGCTCATTTTGGTCAAGAGGCTGCTAAATGGACTCTACGCAGAAGTGTTGCAGATTATGAGCACTAGCTGGCAACACTTCGGTTGTTGGTTAGCTTCTCCAGTAAACATAGCTAATATTTCCATTACTTCTAATTTTATGGTCTCCAGAGGGGGTGAATGTTTCACTGTTTTTGCATTTCAGAAGGACTATGATAGTTCAACTGACTATTAGTTTTAATTCAGGAATCCATACATTCCCCAGTGGCTTGCACCATGAGTGGCATGCGCATGATGTCCCATTTGGTGGCATGGGACAGTCTCAGTGGGTGGTACAAACTGCCCAATGGAATAGTCATGCATGTATCACTGGTGGTTCCGAGCTGCCTGGCAGCAGGACATACGAATTATGGCCCCACTGTGAATGTGTCAAAGGCATCCATTTACTTGAAATATTTAGACATAAGATCTTAAAGAAACAGATATGGGAACTCACGGAACCCAAGAACTCCAGCCAGCGGCACACATGAGGCTTTGCTAGACCTGAGCCCCTCCTGCGACTCCCACCATCTCTGCAAATGACCTTGCGGGACCCGGGAACTCCAGCCAGCGGCACACACGGGGCTGGGCCAGAACTGAGCCCCTCCTGTCCACAGTCCTGGCCACCCACCTCAGGACCTAGGAAATCCAACCAGGGATGTGTGCCCCCACAGTCCCACCACTGCCATCAGGGACCCTCTACCTCCTAGACCTAGTATTGCTGTTGATCTGTGGTCCCCCCGCACCCCCAGAACCTTGGACTGCAGTGGATTAATCATGCAGTTTTGAGGGGAGACTCAGTAAGAAGAATTCAGCAGGTTTCCATCAGGAAGGTGAGTTTGCCCCTAAAATAGGAATGGAGTTTGCCACCTTTGGTGGGTAAACAGGAGCAAGAGAAAAGCCCTTTCCAGAAGTAGGCCACAGGCAAGCTTGGCAAGTGGATGGGTGAATCTTTCCTCCACACAGAGAACATCAGGTACATTGATGAGGGTGCCAACAAGGCCTTTATCAATCTGGAGGAAATTAAGGGGGCTGGTGGGGTACCCAGAGACACAGTAGGGTCCCAGCCAAGACAAACACTATAAACAGGAAGATCTGGTGACTCTGAACAACCTGAAGACATAATAACAGCAGGAACTAAGGGTTGATTTCCATCAGTACTCCTGGGCTTGTAAGCCTAGGAAGAACATAAAATTCATCCAACAGGCCCTGCAGGGGGAATTTAGGTGACTGGCCCTCCCTTCATTGTGGGACCCAGCAATTGCACAAACATCAACCTTAAAGTACACCAAGATACACACTACCATCAGTTACACTAGTAGTACTGAAGGAGCAAATATTAACCCAAAAGGGGAAAATGGCAAAACAAAAAAGCAAAATAAAATCTCAAACATCTTGTCCACCAGAAGTACAGGAGACACTGAAATAGAGAACTTCAAAAGTAACACACCGGAAATCTCTGAAAAGATAGCAAGTGAAATAAAAAAACAACTCCATCAGGCTATAGAGGAAGACAAATTAGAAGTAATTTCTCATGTAAAGAGAGAAATAACAACCTTAGTAAATAAGTTGCTCAACATAGGTAGGGAAGAAATAGATAAAAAAAATACAGGAGCATGGGAAACTGACTGAAATCTTGAATGAATATAGAAAACAAGCAGAATTCATGAAATAAAGTCAAAGAGATATTCAAGAAACAAAAAAATTCTATTGAAAGCTGGCAAAACCATTTAAATGAAGCTGAGGATAGAATTTCAGACCTTGAGGACAGGATCACAGATAGTGATCACGAAAGGGTAGAAATTATAAAAACAACAAAGCAGCATGAAATGACAATACAGCAGCTTCACGATGATGCCAAGAGAAAAAAATATAAGAATAATAAGCATCAGTGAAGATGCAGGAGTCAATGCAAATAACATAACTAAAATATTCACAGAAGTTAATAGCAGAAAATTTCTCAAACATGGGGAAAAATCTGATATGCAGACAAGTGAGGCATATAGAACACCAAACAATCACAATCAATGTAAATCTTCACCCAGACATATAATAATTAAGATCCCAGACATACAGCATAAATACAGAACACTAAAAGCTGTTAGAGAAAAGACACAACTCACCTATCAAGGAAAGCTTATTCGAATCACAGCAGATTTTTCAGCACAAACCCTCAAGTCAAGACGAGCTTGGAGTGAGATATTTTAAGTCCTGAAAGAAAACAACTTTCAACCCAGACTGGTGTACCCAGAAAAACTTTCATTCAAATTTGCATTTGAAAAATGGAGAAACAAGATACCTCCATGACAAAGAACTACTGAAGAAATTCATGTCCATCAAACCAATCCTAGAAAGAGTGTTGAAAGATATAGTAGACAGAGATAAAAATGACCATGATCTCCAGAACAACAACAGAAAGAAACCTCTAGGCAGGACAAGCAATTAAACAAAGGGGAAAAGCAGAAAGCAAACAACTGGAATATAGCATGGCAAGGTCGAGCCAGTGCATATCAGCTATATCTATAAATGTAAATGGCCTCAATTCACCTATCAAAATAAATAGGTTGACAGAATGGATCAAGAAACAGGATCCCATAATATACTGTATACAAGAAAAACATCTGACCCAAAATGAAACTCATAGATTAAAAGTCAAAGGATGGAAAACAGTATTCCATACAGTGGGAACCCAGATAAAAGCAGGGATAACTATTCTATTTGCACATAATGTGAACTAAATGATCAAAAGAGATAAAGAAGGTCACTACATACTTGTTAGTGGAAAAATTCAAGAAGAACTAACAATTATAAATATATATGCACCAAATACAGAAGCACCCAACTATATAAGACAGATACTAATGGACATGAAAAACCAAATACACAAGAACACAATTATACCTCATTGTCACAAAGAGATAGATCAACTAGACAAAAAGTCAGCAAAGAAATAATAGAACTCAATCATACCTGTGAGCAATTGGACTTAGTCAATGTTTACAGAGTATTTCACCCAACCACACCAGAATACACATTCTTCTCAGCTGCACATGGGACATTCTACAAAATAGACCATCTATTATCCCACAAAACATTGTTAAGTAACTGCAAAGGTATTTAAATTATCCATGCATAATATCTCATCATAGTGCACTGAAATTGCAAATTAATGGCAAAAGAAATTGCAAAACCTGTATAAATCATGAAAATTAAATAACAACCTTTTAAACAACCAGTGGGCTGCAGATTAAATTAAAGAAGAAATAAAGCAATACCTACAATTCAATGAAAATGCAGAAACAATGTACTGCCATCTGTGGGATGCAATGAAAGTGGTCTTAAGAGGGAAATATATAGCAATAAATTGTCATATCAAGAAAACAGAATGAGCACAAATGAACAACCTAATAATGCTGCATCTCAAGCTTCTAGATAAAGAAGAGCAAGTCAAACCCAAAGCTCACAGAAGAGAGGAAGTTGTAAATATTAGAGCTAAAATCAATGTAATTGAAACTAAAAAAACCCCACAAAGTATTAATGAATCAAAAAGCTGTTTTTTTTGAGAGAATAAACAAAATTGACAAACCTCTAGTTAACCTTATAAAGAAAGAAAAAACCCAAATTCATGCAACAAGGACTGAAAAGGGGAAATTACTACAGACCCCATGGAAATTCAAAAGAACATGAATACCTACTTTGAAAATATCTACTCACATTCAGTGGAAAATACAGAGGAAATTGACAGATTTCTAGAAACATATGAACTACCAAAACTCAACCAAGAAGATAAAGCAATTTTGAATAACCCAATATCAGCTATTGAAATTGAAAACATAATTAAAAACTTACCAACAAAGAAACACCCAGGTCCTGATGGATTTACGGCTGAATTCTATAAGAAATTTAGAGAAGATACGATGCCAATACTCCTTAAACTCTTCAATGAAATTGAAAAGGAAGCCATCCTCTATAAATCATTCCTGGAGGCAAGTATTACTCTGATAACAAATCCAGAGAAAGACCCAACCAAAAAGAACTATAGGTCAACCTCACTAATGAACACTGATGCAGAGATTTTCAATAAAATACTGGCAATAGAATGCAGCAAATCATCAAGAAAACTATTCATCATGACCAAGTAGGATTCATTCCAGGAATGCAGGATGGTTTACATATGCAAAGCAATAAATGTAATACACCACAGCAACAGAGCCAAAACCCAAAACCATATAATCATCTCAATAGATGAAGAAAAAGCTTTTGATAAAGTTCAACACATGTTCATGATAAAATCCCTTCAGAAACATAGACTACATGGTGTCTACCTCAATCTTATACAGGCCATCTATGACAAACCAACAGCCAACATTATACTAAATGGACAAAAACTGAAAGCTTTCACTTTAAATCAGGAACAAGACAAGGATGCCCACTATCACCACTCCTATTCAGCATAGTTCTGGAAATACTAGCCAGGGCAATCAGACAAGAGAGAGAAATAAAAGGAATAAAGATAGCTAAGGAAGAAGTTAACTATCACTATTTACAGATGACATGATATTCTATATACAAGACCCAAAAAATCCATTAAAAGACTACCAGAGGTAATAAACAAATTCAGCAGTGTCGCTGAATACAAATTCAATTCTCAAAAATCAATAGCATTCCTGTACACAAATAAAACACTCACCGAGAGAGAAATTATGGTAATATCACCTTTCATAATAGCATCTAAAAAAATGAAATACTTAGGAATCAACCTAACTAAGAATGTAAAAGACCTATATGCTGAAAATTATGCTATGCTAAAAAAGGAGAGGATATTAGAAGAGGATATGGAAGAGGATATTAGAAAATGGAAGGATATTCCTTGTTCTTGGCTAGGAAGAACCAACACTATGAAAATGGCCATACTCCCAAAACTCTTACACAGATTTAATGCAATTCCAATCAAAATACCATTAACATACCTCTCAGATCTAGAGAAAACACCCCTAAAATTCATTTAGAAACAGAAGAAACCTAGAATAGCAAAAGCAATTCTGGGCAATAAAGGCAAGGAAGGAGGCATCTCAATTTCTGACTTGAAACTATACTACAAAGCTACAGTGATAAAATCAGCATGGTACTGGCAAAGAAATAGACCTGCAGATCAATGGAACAGATTAGAAGATGCAAACACAGCTACAAAGACACCCAGCCACCTGATATTTGACAAAGGGGCTAAACATGTTCACTGGAAGAAACATGTTTGATAAATGGTGTTGGAAAAATTGGCTTTCCACTGCTGAAGACTGAAACTAGATCTAAGCATATCATCATGCACAAAAGTAAAAGCTAAATGGATCAAAGACCTAAATATTAAAATAGAAACACTAAATCTACTGGAAAACAAGGTAGGTAGAAGCCTTGGAGACATAGGGGTAGGCAGAGAATTCATGAACTAAATGTAAACCGCACAAGAAACACCTCAAAGAATCAACAACTGGGATCTCATATTATTGAAAAGTTTCAGCACTTCAAAAGAAATCACCAACAGAGTGAAAAGAAAATCCAAAGAATGGGAAAGAATTATAGCCAGTAATCCCTCAGACAAAGGACTTATATCCAGAACATATAAAGAATTGAAAAACATCAAGCTCCCCAAATTCAAAGACCCTCTCCAAAAATGGGCATCTGAGATGAACACACAGTTCTCAGATGAAGATATACAAATGGTAAATAAATACATGAAGAAATGTTCACCATCACTGGTCATTCGAGAAATGCAAATTAAAACAACACTGAGATTTCATCTCACTCTGGAGAGAATGGCTGCCATCAAGAAATCAACTAATAACAAATGTTGGCGAGGTTGCGGGGGGGGGGGGGGAGGAACACTACTCCACTGTTAGTGGGAGTGTAGACTGGTGTAGCCACTATGGAAGTCAATATGGAGATTTTTCAGAAGACTAGCACCAGAAGTTCCATTCAACCCAGGTATTCCCCTCCTGGGTATTTTCCCAGAAAAACTGAAAAGGTCATGTCACAGTGATATACGTACCCCCATGTTCATAGCAGCATAATTTCCAATAGTTAAATCTTGGAAACAACCAAAATGCCTATGAACTGTAGAGTGGATGAAGAGGATGTGGTATTTTTATACAGTGGAATATTACTCAGCTATAAAAAGGATGATCTTGAGGCCTTCATAGGTAAATGGAGGCAACTGGAGACTATTCTCATAAGTCAAATAAATAATCATATTTATAAATATCACATTGTGTCTCTAATGTAAAAAGTAATAAGAACTGTAGGAGTAATAAAACCCAAAATGTGTAATTGCTATTGTAAAAAAGAGGAAAAGAAAGTGATCTAAAGGCTATAACTGCATGTATGTTTAAGTGTGTAAGATAGATGACCATATTACTAAGTTTTTGTTGGGTCATTGAGCAGAACTGTTTGCAGTCTCACTGTTTGAATGTCCACTTTGTACGCTTTACTTTTGTAACTTGAACAACTACCTTTTTAAGATGACAGTATATAATTTATCAACTAGTGATTCTTAGTGTTTATTTATTTGAAGTTCTGTATTATTACTACCCTTTTTTCTGTTTTGCTTTTTTTCACTTTAAATAAAATTTTACAAAAGAAAAAGATACATTCTGATAAATAACTAAAAACCACAGCTGATCCAGGAGAGGTGGCACATGCCCAAAATTCTAGCTACCTGAGAGGTTGAGAAAAAGGATTACAAGTTCGAGGCTAGCATGGGCAACTTAGCAAGACCTTGTCTCAAAATAAAAAGGGCTGGGGATGTATCTCAGTGCAGCACACTGGTTAGCATGTGCAAGGCCTTGGGTTAATCTCTGGTACAGTTGGATGAATGAAAACAGAGGGTCTGGAAATTTAAAGATGTGCTGGGCACCTGGCTGTGCCAGGGTTAAGATGTGGACCATGGTTCTCTGAAGACGAGATGATGAAACCACAGCGGAGGCAGCCAGGACACTGGCTCTTAGTCCCTAGTTCAGAGGGAAAGGGAAAATGGGTCTCCCAATTAGCGAGAGCCAGAGTGACTGCTCAGAATGTCTGGATCCTTTGTCTCACAGGGCCTTGCTCGGTGTCCCTTCACTCTCCCTCACCCCACCACTGTTTGAAATCCAATAAACACGGGATGTCCAGAGAAGTCTCTGTCTTAGCTCCAGGAGCGTTCTGACTTCCTGGACTCACAAACCATATTACCTGTCTCTTCTATTTAAACCTTTGCCATACACTCATTTTAGGAGATGGGGGACCTGGCCAAACTCCCAATAAAAATGACTGTATAGGATCCACAGAAAGATCTTCTAAAATATTAGTCATTAATTAAATAACTTCAAGTAAATATAACATTTGTATATGAGGTTTTAAGGGTTATACCAGTATTGATTAGGGGAGGACAAGGAAAGTTTTCACTGATAGCCACAATAAATTTTTTTTTTGGGTACCAGGGACCCAACTCATGACCTTGCGCTTGCCAGGCGAGCGCTTATGCTGCTGAGCTAAATCCCCGACCCCAGCCGCAATAAATTTTAAAGAGTAAAAGGGGCAGAATGGAAGTGCCATGGAGTACTGGATGAATAGAGGTTTTAGGGAGAAATTTGGGACTTCCTGTAGAGAGGTACACAGCCAGTAAAGAGAAATGACGGCCGGCTACTCCGTCAGAGGAGCTGGAAATCAAGGCCCGGGCAGGACACGCAGGGCCTGCATGGTGAAGACACTGATCTTTACCCCAAGAGCAACGAAAGGAAGTGTCCCAAGCAGAAGGCAGCGCGTTAGCTTTGCATTCAGGCAGCGCTGCGAATGCAGGCTAGTCAGGGAGTGAGCCTACGGGCCAGTTACAGGACAGCAAGGCGACATTGCTTCTCTCTCTTAACAGTTCACTTGAAAGAGATGCTCACGTGTTCAACAGATAGACCCCTCAAACTGTCACTTACAGTTTATTTTAAAAAAATGTCAGACTCAATAGTTTTAAAAGATTATGACCAGCAACATTTCCCTCCAAAAGGGCAGAGAGTCCTCCTTACTGAAACGATAGTTTTTCATTTGCACCAGTTTGTACATCTGTCTTCTTTTATACTATCTTTTTACACCTCCCTCCCTCCCTGTGACTCATTAATAGAGAGGACGAATTTCAGACACCTGCTCTCAAGAGTGACAGTGGCAGCATGGACAGCAGGCGTGAGGCCCTAGGTTCTATTCCCAGCAACGTGAAAAACAAACAAAACAAAACAAAACAAAACAAAAGACTGATGGTGGACATTGACATATTTCTTACATTTAAAATATGCTATTCAGTTGCTGCTTCACTATTTTTTATTTAAAGAAATACAGTTGGTATTAGTAATGGGAGAACCGTAAATAATTCTGGAAAATGCAAAGAGAAATAGAAGCAACATTAGAATTTTTAAGGCATTGTTTTAGTCTTTTAGAATGGGTAGAGATTTATAATCACGGGCAGACTAACTTGTACTTCAGCATTAGTTTCTTAAATATAATTATTCAATAATTTCAAGAGCAGTTTTCATAAGCAATTATGATTTTATGCTAAGCATATAATTACCCTGAAGCATATAATTCTTATTTAATGAGTACTTTTATTTTCAGTGGAGGCAATAACTTAAAACAATAATTATAACACAAAGTAGGAATCTCACAACTCATTGATTCTCAGCAAATGTATGTTCATCTGTTCATCTGAATTAGCGGCCAGAGAGAGTCTGTTTATCAGAGCATTTATCAACTGTGAACACCTTTCCTTTGCAGCACTTTCATGGTAGCAGCAGCAATGCAAGCCCATCCTACCCACGGGGTAGCAGACATGTTTATGTGTCCCTGCCACCCCTTTGTTTGGAAGACCTCCAACCACTGCTGGTGGGGAGGGCGTGTCTGGCCTGTTGGCATCAGATAACCCTGCAATAGCCCTGGCTGACAGGCAGTGGGGAAGGGACAGGAAGTGAACGGGGGATGAGAGCTGAGCCAATCAGTTCTCTCTTTCAAACATCAAAGGGCAGGATGCAGAATGCAGAATGTGTTAAGCTTACCACCGTAAAATCAGGTCCCAGCGCCTCTGAAATAGGATTAGTCTGGCCACATTTTAGAAAATTAGAAGTACCTTATTTGAAGAAAAACTTTAAAAAAATCCATTTGTATGTAAACATCCAGGATACACTAGCTGTATCTAAAATGCACACATGAGCATCTGCATTATGTTGTGGATTCGGTATCATCTATATTTGTTATGTGCCTTTGAAGATAACTTTTTTTAAAACTTCCTCTAAGTCACCTGAAGAATGTCATGAAACTTCTAGCCTGAAAGATGCCACGTGAGCAGGGATGCTGGACGACAGGTCTCTGCGTGGCTGCACTGCTGGTGAATGGCAGACGGGCCTACGTACCTATCAGTATGTTTATGCTGCCCGGGCTTCCTGGCCTAAATAAGCTGGAGAATGAAGAAGACAATACTGGTCATTTATGGATCTTTTTTCCTGGGTAATATTTTTAACTTTCACTGGTTGCAAAATAAATCTTCATGTGACAGACACTGTAAGGCAACTTGCAAGCAGATTAAGGTATGGAATTGAATCAAATTTTTTATCTTTTGAGTCATAAGAAAATATTGTGCATATTAGGTATTTGAAAAAGAAGCAAAACAGATGTTTGTATATTTTAAGTTAGAAAAATAGTGAAATAGGAGACATTTCTGACATTTGGTGGCTTCACATGACCCAGACTGACTGTGCTCATTCCTGAATTAAATCTGGTAAACAAAACTCAGAAAATGTAGTGGGAGAAGGTCTTTCTCTATGTGCTAGAGCAGTAACAGTGAACCGAGTGGCCACACTGTCACCTCGAGCCCACTTATCTATTGCAGGGTGCCAACACTGCAATTATTCCAGAATCCTGAGGGTTAGGGTTAGAAAAACGACTCATATATTAACATCTTTTGCCTTAAAACAAAAACAGGCATCACTCATGCCACAGGTTCACCAACCACTGTTCTAAGGACTGGTTTTGCTTCATTTTCCTGCTGTGGAATAAAGTTACCTCTAGATTTTACACCAAGGACAGCACTGCAGATAAACATGCAGCAATTAACATTTAAGGGTTATAATTGTCACTTCATTGATTCCTTTATATTAAAGACAAAAATGGAAATTCACTGAGGTCACCTTTGCATCTAAAAAAGCCACTGCATGTCTGCATAAGCACAGATAGCTCCACAAAGCTCTACACTTACCACATTATATACTGAGAGACCTACCCAATGGCAGGCACTGTATAAAAGAAAGAACCTACAAACATATAGCTTCACAATACCCAGTTTAGAGACTACAAAGGAAATAAGCCAAAGTATTTATGTGATGAATGAGTCTTTCAGTGTAATTTCAACAATGCCCACTGTAATTTTGTTTGGTTTTGGCAAAAGTAGCAATGGTAACTACTAAAAACTAATTTCTAACTTTTCAGTGTTCAAAAGAAATTAGGATATTTGATGACATGCTCAGAATTGAAAAGAAAACAATGAAGTCAGCAGGAATTATAATTAAATCTCTAATATGGAATAAAAATACAGCTTGAGGACCCCTGCTTCAAAAATCTGAAATTCAACCAGACATAGTGGCATACACCTACAATCTCAGCACTTGGCAGGCTGAGGCAGGAGGATCATCAAGATTATGAGGCCAGCCTGGGCTACACAGTGAGTTGTAAGCCAGCCTGAATTACATAGTGAAACTCTGTCTCAAAAAGACCAAAAAATCTGAAATTCAACATGTTTTGTTTTGTGTGGGTTAGTTACTGGGCACTGAACCCAGGACCAGCCTTGAACCAGAGTTCTCCCACCTCAGCTCCTGAGCAGCTGGGACTCCAGGTGTGTATCACCACGAATACCTGCTTTTGGTGTATATCTTTTTTTTTTTTTTTTTTAAGGTAAGAGCTACAAATAAAGCTGCAAAAGCTCAGCCTAGACTTGAAGCAAATGAGATTAACATTCCTTCAAAGTATTTCTGTTTCTAGATAACACCAGTTGGACTCACATTTACATAATTCAAGTCACTCTTAATGTAAACTACAGGAAATTTAATATTTAAATATTTATAACTATTGAGCCAAATCCCTGGCCCCCGAATTTCCGTAACATTGTACTGGAGAACAAGTTTGACTAAATCTCTACCTAAGCCTTCTCTACTATTTCAGGATCCTTTCTCATCCCAATGTTTCAGGATTACGTTTTTATTATTATTATTTATTTATTTTTTGTCTTTTTCCTTTTTATCGGTACCAGGGATCGAACTCACGACTGCCTGCTTGCAAGGCAGGTGCTTATGCCGTTGAGCTAAACCTCCAGCCCCATGTTTTTATTATTAAATGGATGAAATATATCTTCAAATACTTCAGCTCTATTTCTATACTCTCAACGGCTCTGATCTCCATCAGGGTGGCGTAGTTCTCTAATCCGATGCCTCTTACCAACAATATACAACAGGTTAGAATTGATCTCTTGCAGGTTACTTGTATTTTAACCTGGATATTCATACCATACACCAAATTACAGAAACACCAAATGCTGAATGGCAGGCATCAGTCATGAGAAGGCTCTGGGGCTTGGCAAAGCTGTCCCTTAAATTCTTTGATATAAACCAGCTTATTTTGCCTAAGGTTAAGATTGCTCGACCTGTGCACTCTCACAAAAAGACCTCTCAGTTATTTTACAAAGGTGAAAAAAGATGAGCAAAAACTTAATTTTAGATATTTAGTCTCCTGAAAGCACAACGTAGAAAAACAAAATTTTCACTATGAAGATACATTTTTCACCTATAGGAAGAACTTTGTTGGATAAACCTTTGAATGACATAAAGTAGAAGATAAATGAATACAGGGAAAAATTAGCAATTTGGAAAATATTATAAACATTATTTTAAAAAGAGCTTACTTTCTTTGGAAAAGAAAAAAGTAGTATAGGTACTGCCATACTGTCTATGACTAGTTTTTGTGGCAAGGCAGGAACGAAATTATTTTTAAGATAACACTAATACTAAATATTTAGTGACAACTTAAACAGACTGGTAGTCACATAATTCCTAGATATAACTTTGGGTAGAATTAAGAGTTGCTCAACAAAGATACATTAAAATATTATAGGATTTCAATAGGCTTTAATAAGTTTTAAGATGTTGGCATTTAATAGTTTCAGGAAAAGCCTAATAAAATCCGTATGGATTACACCTCGTAAATTAAGCCACCATTGAAGGAAAGGACCCTTGTGAAACCCTCTTCACATGAGGGTAATAGCTGTGATTTAAAGGAATGTGCACAGCACCTGAATGAACACCCTGGGGAAGTAAGTGTGTGTCTCACTGAGTCATTAATTCGTATTGTCATTCATCTCAATCTTGTTCATGCTTAGCAGTGTGTACCGAGACTAAATGGACCTCCGGAAAGTAGCACAAAGCTGAGAACCATGTAGCTGGCTCCACCACTTGCCGCTTATATGGCCTTGGACAAGTTGCTTAACCTCTTAAGGCTTGGTTTCATCAGTAAATAGAGGACGAGATTTTCCCTGTGGCCAAAATAGAGATGTTAGCAGAATCCACATCACAGGACTACCACTGTGCCATGCTCTGATGGGGTAAGAGCTCAGCGATAGCTGCTATTACAAGTTAGTTCACATAATTTATGTAGTCTGCATGTCTCTTGTTTTAAACCAACAGGTACTGCAACCAACAGTGACGCTAAGTACATCTGTGTCTTCCATAAAGAGTCTTACTTAAGCCAACAGGGTAGACCCCTACTAGCAGATTTTCAGGAGTCAGGAAGTACTGATTGGTACTAGGGACAGAGGGCATGTTAATAATTCCAAAATCACACTGCAGCGATTTCGGATCATCCCTGAACTTCTTCAGTAACTTGACTCCATCTCCTACTTTGCTATCTCTTTACTAAAAATCCTAAGTATGTTCACATGAGGGTCTCCGACCTTGTTTTTCCTTCAATTTAAAGTGTTCCTCGGTCTATCATTTATAGCGATATCACTTCACATCACGTGGCTGCATGGAAATACTACCTATTCTCAAGGCTTTGCATATTCTATTAAAATTTTAACATTCTGTATTTTATTATTACTGAAAATAGCGCTTATTTCTACTTAAGACTCTTTTATAGATATTTTTATCACTCCAACTAAAATTCAATTTCCAGGGGTGCAATGATTTTGTCATTTTTGTTCACCAAAATTTCTCCCAAGTTCAGAACACTGACTGGGTAATAGTAAGACGATCAGTGAATCAACAGGCTTACGCTCTGCCAAGCACTTCCTGGTGGATCAGTGCTGAAGGGTACAGCAGGGAACTGGGGCCTCTGGTGTCTGCCACCCTGCTCTTGTTCTTCTGTAATTATTTTCTGAGTACTTCTCAATGTCAAGCCTAGGGCAGGGAGCACAAAAATAAGAATAACATGAGTATTTCCCTTTTCTGGGTTCTCCTACTCAGAGATTATGTCCTTGCTTATGAATATTTTTGTTTCTGTCATTCATTTGGCTCTTATGGCTGACTGTAGTCACTACTCATTTATTTCTATATAAAATAATTATTTATATTTCTTATACTAAAATAACTCAAAAAATAATTATATTTTGTATCTCCTTAAAAACTTACCCACAGCAACATAGAGAGTACTCTTTCATTGGTTGCTATTAATGAAGATCTCAAAAACCCCCATAACATCCTAACATACTGATTCTAAGCAGGACCTTTATAAATATCTTTATGAATGTGCACATACTTTTACTTGCCCATAATTTCTTGAAAATAGGCTGTACTATGAACAGAGAGAAGGAAACATTATCTTCTAATGTAATCAAATGGTATACATTGTAGAAGATTTCAAAAAGCTAAGCAATTTCCAGCCTTGGAAGGCCTTCATTACGTAGTTGAGACAATTAAAGAAGATGCTAGAATGCGTAAGTCTCCTGATATCGAAACCAGAAGGACCCAACTAAAAAAAGAGAACGACAGGACAATACCCCTAATGAACACAGGTGCAAAAAATCCTCAATAAGATGCTAGCAAATAAAATGCAGCAAGTCATGAAGAAGATTATATACCATGACTAAGTGGGATTCATCCCAGGAATGCAGGGTTGGTTCAACATATGCAAATCAATAAATGTAATACATTATATCAATACAGCCAAAGGCAAAAATCACATGATCATCTCAATAAATGCAGAAAAAGCTTTTGATAAGGTCTAGCACTCATTAATGATGAAAACCCTATAGAAAATCAGAAAGGAGGATCTTTACCTTAGCCTATATTACAGTGAATTTCATACTAAATGGACAAAAATTGAAAGCTTTCAAACTAAAATCAGGAACAAGACAAGGATGTCCATTATCACTGCTCCTACTCAATATAATTCAGGAAACATGAACCAGAATAAATAGACAAGAGACAAAAATAAAAGGAATAAAGATAGGAAAGGAAGAAGTTCAACTATCATTATTCACAGATGACAGGTTACTCAACACAGAAGACCCCAAAAACTCCACCAAAACACTCCTAGCCAAATAACCTAATTTGACTCCTAATAACCAAATTCAGTAGTATAGTTGGAAACAAAGTCAATACTCAAAAATTAAGAGCATTCCTGTACACAAACAAGAAACTCACTGAGAGAGAAATTAGGGAAACTATACCTTTCACAATAGCCTCCAATAAGATGAAATACTTGGAGTCAATCTAATAAAGGAAGTAAAGGATTTATATACTGAAAATTAAAGTACTTTGAAAAAGATCAAAGAGGATATCAGAAAATGGAAAGCTATCCTTTGCTCATGGATAGAAAGAAGCAACACAGAGAAAATAGCCATATTCCCCAAATTATTATACAGATTCAATGCAATCCCAATCAAAATACCCCACAAAATTGGAAAAAAATTTCCTAAAACTCATCTGGAAGCAACAGAGACCTAGAATAGCAAAGGCAATTCTGGACAACAAAGGCAAGGTAGAAGCATCACAATCCCTGACTCGAAATTATGAAGGTACTGTGATAAAAATCAGCATGGTAATGGCAAAGAAACAGACCTAAAGACCAGTGGAACAGGCTAGAAGATGCAGAAACAACTACAAAGACACTCAAGTCATTTTATCTTTGACACATGGACCAAACATGTTCACTGGAAGAAAGACAGCTTCTTCACTAAATGGTGCTGGAAAAACTGGCTCTCTGCTTGCTGAAGACTAAAGACTAAAACTAGACTCATGTCTATCACCATACACTAAAGTCAAAATGGATCAAAGAGCTAAATACTAAAACAGAAACACTAAGTCTACTGGAACAGAAAGTAGGTAAAAATCCCGAAGATATAGAGGTAGGCAGAGACTTCATGAACAAAACCCAAACAGCATGGGAAACACTTCCAATAGTGAAGTGGAATCTCATTTTATTAAAAAGCTTTTGCACATCAAAATACATCATTAGCAGAGTAAAAACACAATCCACAGAATGGGAAAAAATTTTAGCCAACTGTCCCTCAGACAAAGGACTTCTATCTAGAACCTAAAAGAAATGAAAAAAAAAATCAGACTCCCCAAATTCAAAGACTCAGTCCAAAATGGGAAGCTGAGATGAATATACACTTTTTTGATGAAGAAATACGAGTGGAAAATAAATATATGAAAAAATGTTCAACATCATTGGTCATCTGAGACATGCAAATTAAAACAACACTGAGATACCATCTCACCCCACTAAGAATGGCTATAATCAAGAAATCACCAATAACAAATGCTGGAGGAGATGTGGGGAAAAAGGAATGCTTTTCCACTGTTGGTGGGAGTGTAGACTGGTGCAACCACTGTAAAATTCAGTGTGAAGATTGCTCAAAAAACTGAGATTAGAGATCCCATTCAACTTAGCTATTACCCTTTAGGGTATTTTCCCAGATGAATGAAAAACATAGCACAGAGATATATGTGCACCATGTTTGTAGTAGCACAATTTGTAATAGCTAAATCTTGGAAACAATCTAAATGCTCATCAACTAAGGAATGGATAAAAAAGATGTGGTATGTTTATACAATGGAGTATTTCTCAGCTATAAAGAATGATAAACTTGAGACATTTATAGGTAAATGGATGGAACTTGAGACCATATTCATAAGTGAAATAAATCAGACTTGCATGTGTAAACATTGTATTGGTGTAAGAAACTGAAAAAGTAAACAGAATCCAAAATGTACAATAGATACTGTGAAGTGGAAGAAAGCTGTTCAAAAGGAAAGAGAAACTGGGATGGGGGAAAGGAGAAAAGGAGAAAGGAAAAGGAAAAATAAATAAACACACACTCACAACAGTTAAGATAGTTATATTACTAATTGAGATTAGTTCAATGAAAAGAAAGGTGTGTGCCTAAATTGTTTGATCAATTTTTCATGCCTATAGCTTATAATGGGAGCAACTATCTCAAAAATAATAATACACAATGTACTAACCATTGTTACTCTCCAACAATCTTAGTTTGAATTTTTGTTTCATTTTTTTATTAAAATAAAAAATAAAATCAATTAGTAATTTCTTGGACCCAAAGTTCATGTTTTATTTTTGTATCTCACTTGCATAATGATGTGCTCTACTAATCAATAAATATTCTATGAATTAAAAAAAGAATGCATAAGTCTCTATTTTTCACAGTATTCAAAATACTATGGTAATAGAAACTTGATGCCCTGCAACTCTGATAAAAGAGTTTAAGTTGTGGTGAGTGTTTTGAAGATTAAAGTACAGAGAAGTTTGCTGCTGAGTATGGCAAACGTTTCATCTAGGCTGTTAGGTATCCATGTGTACACTCACTGTTGGTCTTTGTTGCTGAATGATGGATTCACACGCCTTCCAGAACAGCAACATATATCACAGAAACACAAACCAAGAAAATGTTGTCATACTCTGGGGTTGTTTGAAGACAATTTTAGGACTCTGCATATAATATTACCTTAGGACCTTTCAGAGAAGACCTTCCTAGCATTCAGTTTGAGAGCTGTTTAGTTATTTGAATGAAGAGGAATCCCAGAAATGTTCACTGTTTTTGCTACAATCCCCTTGGACAGAAAGGAAGAAACCCGAGTACGGCACCACCACCCTGCAAAGCCACACATGCAAAGGATATTCTTCGCTATTCCGGATGTCAACCACCAGCAGCTTTGGTTTGCTGGACTTTGTTTTTTTGGTCGGAGTTTTGAAGTGGCCTGTCATGGTCAGCTCACATAAGTCAATCAGGTCCTCCGCGGAAATTCGAGGTGATACTTCTGACTTCAGGTCATTTAATGGGATGGATTCTCTTGACTGAAAGAAAAAGGCCAAAGAACAAAAATACTGAGAATGTTATAAAGACCAACCATAACTAATGCAAAAAATACCTTCCAGCTCTTGATATGAATGAATACAGCACATGGAAAAGAGGAATTGAGCTTCTCGGTGCTGAGGTTTCCTTCTAGTTACATTATGAGAAAGCATTGTTGTTAGTATTATTCTTGTTTGGATCAAGGGCATAGAAACAGATGAGGCAGCTTTTTCCCCAGGAGAAGTACTGTGTATCTTCAAAAAAGGTTCTTTAAGCACATTTCACTTTTCCTCAAGTATAACGATTTGTGAAATATGGTTATAACTCTGGTTGCATGAGAAATTGCATTGTCATCGATACAGATACTAATAAAAAAACTGGTTCATATATATCATAGGCTTTTGTAATATAATTTGTTTTCTATATAAACAGTAGAATGAAAATTAGATTTTCAGAAACAAAAGAGCAACCTAATATTTTCCTAGGTAGAAAACCAAATTGACATGGCATCTTAATTGTGAAGGAGGTAAGTGTGTTCTCTCACTTAATTAACTTTGAAATAGAAATAGACATTACTGTTTTATGAATTTATGGCTTTCAATAAAAAGCAGACTCCTGACTGTAAAACTAACACATTAGTGCGTGTGTGTGCTAAACCGCATAAGACTGATTTGGACAAAGGAACATTAACGCTTTTTCTCTGTTACTTATTTAACAAAGAGAAAAATTTCCTGACATACATTGGCAACACAATGCAATTCAATGTAAGTTTCTTCATTCTTGAAGACTTATAACTTGAGAATTTAAGAACTTTTAAAATGTACTTACTGAAAACATAGAGATTCAAAGGAAAACTTATTTTCATGCTCAACAAAGTTATCAAAATTGAGGCTAATCTTTATCTCAATTTTCTAAGTTTCATTTTGGGATTGCACATTTAAAAACTCCAATGTAGTATTTTTAGGCAGAAGAAAATCAATCATATCAAGCATTTATCAGACAAATTCAGTTTGAAAAAAATTATTTCCTATCAGAGTTTGTTGTTAATTCCTCCCCTGTGTTTCTCTAATTGTGCCCTTAATTCTTTTGTGGTAAAGTATTTGTTCTCGCACTTAATTAAGCTTGAAATAAAAATTACTAAGTTTTATGAATTTATGGCTTTCAGTAAAAAGTAGACATTAGGAATTTTACTTTTTTAATATTAGGAGTAAAAGCTACTTAAATATCCTGAAATTAAAAGTGCTATAGAAAGATTAAAGAGCTGTAGTCAGCAAACCATAAAATCAGTAATTCCCTCTGCATTTTCATTAGAACGCAATCTTTACAGGTATTCTAGGCTTTAAATGAAGCCCTATATTTATGACGCTAAGAAGTTTTGATTGGCCTAGTTTTGCTCTTAGTGTGAAACGCTGCGTGCATCACTACATGACTAAGTTTCATCTGAGTGAAAGAATGCGCTGGCTGATAGAGGATTTTACCAAAGTATCCACTAGAACTGATTAAAGAGAAACTGACCTTGGCGTTGATTCCAATCAAATGCATCAGACATAAGGAGGTTTTCAAAGGAAAGTGCATTGCCACATGAAATCATAAGAACAGAAGGACAGCTGACAAATTCACCACTGTCTTAACTTCTGTACTAGGTGTAGTCAAAGATTTTAACACGATGCATACCAGTTCCCCTACAAATTAATTTGTGGAAATTTTAGGAAAACCACATAACAAGAAAATTATAATATTAAAATACACAGTACTGATTTTATTAGCTTTATGAGTGGTCTTCCTTACCCTGTAACAGTCCCCTTGAAGGTACATAAAAAGTCTGCATAGAATGTATGTCTATTTAGTATAACAGACATCATTTTCCTTGTGTCACTAGTTTCAAATTCAAAGGACTTGTTTATGAACAATGTACCAAAATTTACAATAACTATAGAACAGCTCTAGAAATGTCTGAATGTGTCTGAGCTATATTTTTAAGAGGTCATATTCCATTGCCAACCCCGGGTCAGAGTTCATTTAGCAGTGCTACTGGTAACAGTCATCGTTCAGCAGTGTGAGCCCTCTGAGATGGCAGCCTGGACGTTCCAGTGATGATTTCAACCAAGTGAGCTGAATGCCCTGGCAACAAGGCAGGTATGCAGCTCTCACCAAGAACGAGTTCTGTCTGCAGCAATCCACCAGACACACTAGGAAAGGTGTTGAGAAACGGCTCTCATTTAAAACCTTTTCCACTGTTTTCTCCCCCTTAGCCTAGTACAAATGAAGCAAACATGTTAGTCAGGATTTATTTTCCTTTACGTTCAGTTCACGAATATCCACTTGGAGTTTCTCAAGGCTGCAGCCCTGCTCCATGAATCAGCGACATGGATTTCTTCTAACGTCCACGGTCTCTGTTAAAGCAGGGGCTGGTTTGTTCATTCCCCATTTCCTAGCAAAGGGCTTGGAACTTAGCTACTTAGTAAAACAGTTGAATTAATGAAAGGGATATATAAAAGAGCCAGCATAGGGACTCAGGTAAGGGAAAAATACATAGGAAAGGAGCAGTGATGAGTACTATGTGATGGTATTATACATGGCCAATTACATTTACATGGCCTTATACATTTCCTATTACATTAGGAAAAATGTAACAGTTACAGATGGCAGACAAGGGGAAGCTAAGTTCAGATTTAGATATGTGACACTGAGGTGACACAGGGTCTACGATGCTGAAGTGTCAAGCATTCAGTTAGAGACAGAAACTGGCATTTGCAAAGTTATAGCTAAGGGATCATATTTTTGAAATCATTAGCACTTAAACTACAGTTCAATTCATGAGATAAAAATTTAAAGCCTAGAAAAATTTGGCAAAGAAATCTTAATTTTGGCAGGCACATCTATACGTTGCTCAGAAAAATCTTTAATTATGTCAAACATTAAGGTCTGAAAAAAATGGAGTTTAGGACTTTTATTTTTATTTTTTTCATACATGCATAGCAAGTAGATCCTGCCGTCTTTGTGCTGGGTATTTCAAGCTCATCTATGAGGAAGTGTAGCTTATCAAATGGCAGGAAGAAACTTTAATTACTATTCTCAAATTGTAACAAAGAAAACTTTGTTTTTAAAACTCATTAACTTACAAACATATTTTATCCATACATTTAAGATAATACATTATCTCAGCAGTATTTGGGCTTCTTCTTTCTTCCTCTTATTTTTAAAGACCCAGAAGAGGTTACTATTTCCATGATTTGGAAATACAGCATTTGAAATAACTGTTATGCTCAGAGAGCTGCATAATCGGTTCTCATGCTTAAGAGAATACTTTCCCTTTAAATAGAAGTGATAGAACATATATGAATATAAAATACAAAGAAGAGTACATGGCTGGGGATTTAGCATGAGCACCTGCTTTGCAAGCACGTGGTCATGAGTTCGATCCCTGGTACCAAAAAAGGAAAAAAAAAAAAAAAAGATTAAAAAAAAAGAAGAGTAGAGAGGGAACTTTTTGCATTGATTGGGGATTTTATGCTAACATTTTCACAGATATGCTTGGAAAAAGTGTGTAAGCTAAATTTCTATAAAGAGAATAATTTTCCTTTTGATACACAGTATCAGTTTAGAGATATTTCATCCTTCTGGGTCTCCATTTTCTCATGTATAAAATAAAGGAGCAGGAGTAGGTGATACATATTTCTTTCTCTAACCCTAGAAGCCTATGACTTAATTTCTGATTAATCTTCAACTAACAATAAGTCCCAAAACTCTTGTTTTACTCTAGGACAAAAGTTAAAACTTACATAGAACATTTAATGACCCCACTGGAGTTTCAAGAGATTCCTCAGCAAGGATCAGTACAGTGTTGTTTGCGAGCATGGCATGCCTACGTGGACCAGTAAGATGCCTCAGTCTTGCAAAGACAAGTAGCTGGGTATATTTCATACACTGTAGTTTAGACTGGTTGAAGGCAGAAGGAAGGAATGGAGGTTATTGTAGGTGATGAAGCCCAGTGTTAGTGATCTGTGAGACAAAAACAGGGTCATTGTGGGGTTGGGGGGCGGTAAAATGGTGCTGCCTAGCCACTTGTGTAGAAATTTCTACAGCAACGTGAAAAAGTTAATGAAAGCAGTTCCACTCAGCTTGATGTCTTTCTTTGGATTGGGTCAGCACTGCTTCTCCGTAACAGTTATACCCAGGGTTTAAGCCACTCTGATCTGGATCATGACTAAGAGGCCATGGTAATTTAGTCAAAATGCTATTTTTATCTCAAACTCTAACTTTTCAAGATAAATTGGGCCGCTGACCTCATTGTCCTTTTCCCTCACCCTTGCCCCCTTTCTTGTACATTAGTGATTTGACTACAACTTTCGCTCAGATATAACTTATCACTCTTCTCCTGCCAAAAATTCCCTTACTGTACAACCAAAGAGTGTCAAATACAGGTGGTTGCTGTAACCACAGGCCCAAGTCACATGTAAGCTTGCTCTGCAGGAACCAGAGAAGGTCTCCTTGCAAGCCCTAAAACCTGGGACTATAGCTACTAGTGCAAAGTCCCAGTTTCACCTGTCCCTGTTCATGGAGAACTGAGAAAGGACCCTGTCAGATCTTGCGGCCTCACATATGGGCCCCCAACCACTGCCACCACCCACACTTGCATAGTGAGCTAGGGGAGCTCTCCTCACCCATGGCCTTGATACTGCAGCTGGTGGTGCAGAAAGGGTTGGTTTTGCCCAAGGTTGGCCTGGAAACCACAGGAAGGTCCCATTTGTGTCTTGCAGCTCCAGGACTGTGCCTCCAAATGCTTGTCCTAGAGGCTTATCTGCCTAATGTAGGAATATTCTCATCCATGTCCTGTTATGGCTCCAGGAACACCAACACCAAAGCCAGAAGCTCCTGCACAACCAATGCTCAACCTGTAGGATCTCGGAAGGGTCTTTTCCATGTCTGGCACCTCTATGAGCAGGGGTCCTAGCGCTGCAAACCCAACCATTACCTGCTTACGCCTCAGGAAATGCACACA